CAGGCTATTTTTCATATAAAATGCGCTTTAACTACTTTTTTATCAATAATTACGTGGAAAAGTGACGATGATAATTGCGCATGTATAGAACAATGAATATAAGATCTTTTTGAGATTATATATTTGAATTAAATCTCAAAAAGATCTTATATATTTGATTTGTATAATTTATTAGAATATGAATGTAGCTCATAAGTGATAAGATTATATTTGTCAATACATTCGCTGTTTAGTTCATAATTGTCAATGATTGTCGCTGACCGACGACTCTATTGATAGTAACCCTTCGACATCAGTATAATTGAATTTCGGCCAAAATGTACCGTAAACCTGTTCAGACTTTCGAAATATGCATATTTAATTCGAATGAGACTATAAGAAAAAGTTTGATCCCCAATGTTATCATTTATAAAATGTTAAAAACCGCTAAATTAATTTAAATGGTAAGAAAAGAAAATTTTAAGAATAGCTCTCGTTGGGGACTCCAGAATTGGATTCTGAACAACATTTGTTGTTTCAGAGTAAACCTGCCACTTTATACTAAAGTGATTACGCAAGTGACGAGATATACATTTCTTAGTGTAGTTTTTGATGCTGATCCCAACGGTGAAAACCGCAAGTCTCAGAAAAAAAGTTATAGTCAAAACAGTTTTAGGGGAAAAGTGCGCGTTTTCAGCCATTTTCTAGCGAAACCGACCTCTCTTGCAGAGCTTATTGTGGCGGAAGGATGTGTCGTAGAACCTTCATTTTATCGCCAAATGAAAGAGCACGCCGAGTTCTGAATCGACATATGAAATTCATTCGTGTCCGAGAGCCTCACAAGGCACCAGCGCTCTGCGAAAAAATCAGGTTTTCCAGAAACCCTGCAGGATCTCCGGAAATCTCAAAGCCTAATCTAAGACAACCAGTCGATAGCCCGTTCAATTCTGTGCAAAATGAGACGTCAAGCAACCTTTTAGAGCATTCCAGTCAAATTTTAGTGCTGAAATACTCAGCGAGGCTAAACTCCCCAAACATTTCAAGTGTAGTTGAAAATTGTAGAAAAAGTTGTAATAAAAATAATAAAAAAAAGGCGGAAAAGTAAAAAAATATGTGCTATGGCAATAAATAAACAACATCACCTGTTTTTTACCTTTCGCTTTACCGAGCAAATAGATGTCGGCATGGATACTACTCAACCCAAAAAAAGGAAAGAAACGAACTTTTTTAATTCAAATTTTTGAATAGCCTCTTCTCTCTCTCTTCTCGTGACTGTTGGTGTAGACGGCACTTTGGTCAGTCCTATTGTCTGTCAAACAGTCGTATTCACCCATTTGCTACTCCATCCAGCTCCACTACGTTTAAAGAGCTGTGTAATCGGGCATCGACGTTCTGTCTCCGATGCCAACTTCTGGAACTTCTCCTCGTCACTTGTATCTGTCTCTAAGGAAACCTGTAACTCGATATTGTGCCAATTAGCGTTTCCGTCCATTCCTTCCACAAGCACATCTGTGTCTAGTTGGCCTTTTACCGTGACGTTCCATTTGCCTAACTTGATGCCAAGGTCTTTGGCGACGAGAGAGCCGGTGACCTGGGTGCAAGACCCCAGGCTGCTTAGATTATATGCGAGTGGCGAGGGCGCCGAATCCGAGCCGCCGAATGATGCGTATGCGTCGACGGAGATCTTGTGAGGGCTGCCCTTTACTGTGATGGACTGTGCTACGCCTTGGCCCTGACCGTCTATGCGGAAACGGATTTTGTCCAGGGTTCTTGATGAGGTAGAGAATTGCGGGCAGCGATGCGAAAGTGGGCCCCGAAGATTTGTAAGGCGACGCAGGGTTGTGATTGGAAGCATGATGTCGATAGCTGCGATAGTTGATTTGCGCTGTGTGACGTTGACCGTGGTTCAATCTAGGAAGATGTATATGGACAGCGTTCTTGCAACATTTTAGATTCGACGTCAACAGATTTGTTAACCAAGTCTCCTTGATTCAATAAGGCCGAAGTAATTTCAAATGCGCAGATTGGAGAGTAGAAGTAAACACACAAACTCAGATTATGATAAGGAATGAATAATAGTAACTTTAATATATATTTACCTAACTGTTTCTCCTTTATTTTTTATAATTTTTTGCGTCATTCAGTCCAAAGGAATAATAAAGAACGAAACTATAATGATGACAAACAGACTTCTCGGTCACTGTTTGCTCAGCTCTTTTCTTTATTTCAGTTCCTGAAACGTTTGTGGTCTAGTTGATTTATGTAGGGTGGATCCGTAGGAAACGTACCACTTTATACTAAAGTGATTACGCAAGTGACGAGATATACATTTCTTAGTGTAGTTTTTGATGCTGATCCCAACGGTGAAAACCGCAAGTCTCAGAAAAAAAGTTATAGTCAAAACAGTTTTAGGGGAAAAGTGCGCGTTTTCAGCCATTTTCTAGCAAAACCGACCTCTCTTGCAGAGCTTATTGTGGCGGAAGGATGTGTCGTAGAACCTTCATTTTATCGCCAAATGAAAGAGCACGCCGAGTTCTGAATCGACATATGAAATTCATTCATGTCCGAGAGCCTCACGAAGCACCAGCGCTCTGCGAAAAATCAGGTTTTCCAGAAATCCTGCAAGATCTTCGGAAATCTCAAAACCTAATCTAAGACAACCAGTCGATAGCCCGTTCAATTCTGTGCAAAATGAGACGTCCTTTTTATAAAGTAGAGCTGAGGTACTGCGGAGTACTTCAAAAAAAGCAGCACTCAGGAGTACTCATTTTTGTGGGTACTCCGTTATAGCTTTGGAGTACTCCTTTTGAGTTGGAGCACTCGTTTTGGGAAAAAGAGTGGCCCATGATACTTCTCCTGTTGATATTTGTTTTTGACTGGGATATCCAAAACGAACGGATAGTTGCTTTAGAAAATCGGGTTAAGAATGCTTGTTGAAACTTACCTTTTGACAAAAGGAATAATAATATTACCTTACACGTGAACATTTTATTGTCAGCTTACGAAAAAACACAGTTTTTTTCTGTTCTCTTTTCTATGGATCGATACACAAAGCATAAGATGGAAATCATAAAACAAATTTAACGTGGATATTTAACAAACCGAAGGTAAGGTATATAGTTACATTCATCATGTTTGAGTCAACAACAGCTAAAGAAGAAGGCGATACAGACTTGTTGACTTTCATCTATTCCAACAGAACTTCATGATATATGAGATATTTATATGATTGTGAATGAGAAATACCGAGGATTAATAACAGTTTTTCGACTGATTGATTGAAAAGCTGAGAAATACAATAAGACAGATGTTCTCAAAACAACAAAAGAGTTTTTACTGTTGTTCGAAAGAGAGCCGATACTTATCATATGGTATTTATTTCCTAATTTTTGAAGCTAATGAAATATATTTTATTTCCTGCGTTGTATATAGATGATGTCTGCACACCTAGAATACTTAAGCAATGAAATATTGTTTGAAGTATTCGATTATTTGAGTTCCTATCAAATATCTGAATCATTTTATGGATTAAATAAGTGATTTAATGATATAACACAATATTGTCACAGATATATAGATTTCAACCAAGTATCAGAAGAAAAATTTCTTTCATATTTTGAACAAATATCGTTACCATCTCGTATTTTGTCATTAAAATTTACCCAATTACAACAAATCGAACATGTAAACGGACATCATGAAATTTTCTTATCCCTACGTTCATTGACATTCGTTGATACAGAAGAAAATAAAATAAAACAAATTTTAAATAAAATTCCAATTCAACAATTAGAATATATATCAATTAATGGACATTGTTGTGATGGTACTGAACATCTATATCGAATTTTAATATCCGAACAAATGTTATTATTAAAAAAATGTCATTTAAATTTTCTAACTACTATGAATTTTAATCTTAATAAAATTCAATTAACACAATCAAAAGTTGAATATTTTACATTTAAATGTCTTAATTTTAATTGTATACTTAAATTATTTCAATATGTACAAAATTTAAAATATTTATGTGTTAGTCTATATATTCAAAATCCATCAACAATAACAATAGTTTCCACATTATTAACAAAATTAAAATATTTAGAAATACGTACATTTTCGTATTATCCACATTTATTTAATAATATTATGCGTTTATTAAAATATTGTCCAATATTAATAAAATTAGAAATTAGTTGTATTGATCACAAGACGAATTAATGATTGATGGCCAACAATGGGAATCAGTAATAACAACAGATTTACCATATTTAAAAATATTTTATTTATTTGTTATTTTAAATACAAATCTGGATTCGATTGATGTTGATACTGTTATTTTGAAAAAATTTCAAACAGAATTTTGGATTAAGAAACTAAATCTATCTACTACAATTAAAATAAAAGAACCGTATTGTGTTCAATTAAATGTTAGTTAAAAGTCATTTTTCTCATACAATCAGACACTTGTTACTTAGTAAACTATTTTCCATCATGACTACCTTTTTCATTAAAAGAACACATGAACGTCATAGATGAAAAGTACAGTTATACAAATAAATATCTATATAAGCAAACACACTAGAAAGAAAATGATTGAGGCCTCCTCCAGTCAGAAACCTATTTCTGAAAGTATAAGACTGACCTTGACATCAGAGAATAGAAGTTAATTAAATATTTAAGTATTAATCAGTGTTATTTTGATGACATTTATAACCTTTTACGCTATGCCATTATTGTAACGTTTAACGATGACTATAAAAAAATGCTCTGGGGAAAATTGGACTACTCAGTTATTTTCATTAGGGAAATTCGGTCTACTCCAGCAAAAACGGCTTTAGCTCTACTGCTAGAACTTTTCAGAAACGATTAACTGCAACTTCCGGAGGACTAAGTTTTCAGCTGAAGAACTACAAAGCTGCATGCTCCATGTTTATTTCTTCATCTTTTGAGAATATCGCTGGCTGGCCGCAGTTTAGCTTCTGAATATCGTACTATCATTTTTAATGAAAGTTTTTTTGATTTATTAAAATTTTGAGAAGCTAAACAAATCGACATTCATCAATGATTTCGGCAGAGGAAGTGCGACCAGATGTTCAGTGTAAAGAATAGAATACGTAGACAAAACAAATAACAGGAAAATTCTTGAACGTTACTATCACTCAGGACCACAGAACAGTCACAGCAGAGAACTTTTGGCCATTGTGTTCGTACTAGGATTTACAGTCTCTATGAATTGCAAATTCGACAAACTCAGACGCATCTTATTAGAGTACAAAGCCTTTCAAAACGCTAACATTCACACTTACAGCTTACTTCCAGTACTTGCTTTCAGTAATCTTTGTTTAGGAACTGCCACTTCTCACGGAAGAATAACAAACAGCAACCTAAATGGCATTTGAGCGGTTTTATTTAACGCTTTTTTCTCTGTTTGTTTTTATTGTCAGCATACGATTTTGTGTCATAGTACTTGTTGCAACAGTAGATACCCGAGAAAAAGAGACGACAGGATATAATTTGCAATAATCGCCGAGTATAATTACAACTACAGAAAATCCGGATTTTATGGGAAAGATTTCTGAAGACCACCTAGAAAACTTCCGAGATCTCGAAAATACTTCCACTGGATTCTGCATCCTATATAGGCCTGTAAAAGTTCACGTTTCGTTCCTTGAATTTGACCGCTAAAGCACGTTCGTGTTCCTTGAACATCAACGTTAAAGTGCTGGTAAAAGAAAATTTTTTTTTGATTATACAGGAGGATCCAACTCCAAAGTTGAGTGGTCCGACCATCTCTGCTCTTATCAGATCTCTTATGAATTCGCAAGTGATTAGGCACAAAAAAGGATGACGATTAGTCTGACATATTATTTTGGGGTGTTTGTGTCACTTTTTTTGGGTATTAGTGGATGTTTCTAACGCAAAAGCCCTAAAGAATCCTCTTTGAAATAAAGTTTTTCAGTGTTCGTTTGATATTACTTTATTCACAAAGAACAGATCCAGCGACCGGCTATCTCGTTCTTTAATTTGGGGGTGTTCACGGATGTTAGTGGGTGTTAGTGCATTTTAGTAGTATCCAAAAATAAAGTTGATATTCATGATCTACATAAGGAGGTGGATCAAACCATATCAAACTCGATTAGCTTCTTTCACGGTTTTCTTCAATCTTTGTACATAAAACGTCCTTATCCTTTCGCCTTATATTTCTGCCAATGAAAACGTAACATCAAGAAAAGACCACTGAGTTTAGGCTAAAAGAAGACAACACCATTTCCTGGAGCCAAATGGAAACTACGGCTTTTACTGGGCTGCAAATTGTAGCTTCAATTAGAAGCTAAACATCTTTCTGAAAAGGCGCCAGGTCCAAATATAAGAAACTGTGGAGAATAGTCGAAATAGCCAGGTAACAGAGAAAACAAACAGATTATATGAATGACAGTGATGAAATTGATACAGAAGTTGTAACATGAAGTTATTATACAAGTATACTTTTATGATTGAAGTTGGTACTCAATGTTGAACGAAAATAAATAATATGTTTATTGTTCACGTGATTATATTCATATCCTTAAAACATATATCTAGTTGCTGACCAAATCAGAAATTCTTCTTCATCAGGATATTCAGAGAGTGACGAGATATTTGTACCCACAATAGTACCATGAAGGGATTAAGTGTCATTTCTAATTCCGCCACTTCCTGGAAAATCAAGAACTTAGCCCTATATGTTCCAAAATATAAAATATAAAGCTATAAGGCAGATCTCTTGATACTATTCAGAGATGCGCAATGTTATTATCTTGTGAACTGAATCACGTAAGGATCAGAAGAAAATCACCGGTGAATAATAAACACCACACAAATCCCGAAAACCTGCGTATTAACCTGCACAAGAACAGCCCATGTCAACTATCGCGATAAAGTCGCGGCTCAAGTCGTGATAAAAAGTCACGGCGCGAACGCGTAGCGTGATCGTTTATAGTTTATACTCGCGAAATTTCCCGCTAATTTCGCGATTGCTATAAAGTCGCGATGGAACGAGATTTTTCCTATGTAGGCGCTACATTCGCGACGCAACTCGTGCTGTCGCGAAATAAAACTTATCAAAATGTTGAACACGTGAATTTAGTTATCAAAAATACTAGTCAATTAACATTATCGAGTCATTATCCAAATGTTTATTCATTAAGAATAGATTCAGAAGAAGAATGGGGAGAAGAAGAGAATAATACTTCATGTCTAGAGGTAATTTTATAAATTAAAAATGCCTACTAATGGATGGTCCAGAATAAATTGTACTAAATGTTAATGTTAGTAATAAGTAAAACACCAGGCAAAAAATAGTTGCTGGAAAGTGCTTTTTCGTATTGCCCATTTGAAGAAAAGAATGGGCGTGGCTATTTTCTCAATAACTTTTGAACAATACATTTTGAAGACTTTCGGGTTTCAGAAGGGCATAAAGCAAATAGTTAGCTATAAGATGACATAAAAATATTTGATAAAATACCACATGCAGGTCGTGTACCTTATTAGTCTCTGAAAGCGAGTGTTGCCAAAGTATGAGAGCAGGTTGGATTTTCAACTTAAACATGTTTGCTAGATAGATTAAATATTACTCTATACTTATCCGGAATCCCCATGGCTCCATCTACCGCGGTTCAGGCTCTATTAGGTTTTTCCAATAACCTACATATTGGCTAAATTTCATCTCTAGGAACTTCCGAAACACATGGCTCATAGGTAGATATGCACCAGTTTTTAACTGGTGTCGGGGCATCCGGGAGAATTGCTGTACATCAGCTATCACGATCCGCTCACAGCTGTGTAATATCTCATTCTGTACAAAAATGTTTGTTCTATCAAATGTATTTGTTCATCATGAAGTTCAATAATAGCTTCAAAAATTAACACAAATTACTTCGGTTTGTGAAAGGTTTTTTGGAAAGCGTTCAGCACAAGGGAATATTTCGCACTAATTTCTGCTACAGAATACGGTTAAACAGATAAAATAGAGCCTACGTTGATATTTAAAAGCAGGGTTGGGACAGTTTGACTGAGTCATAAATTTTTAATTTTCGGTGCACTTTTTCGAAAAATAAACATTGTCACAGCATTCAGCGTGTTCGATAACCTATGAGTAGGTATGCACCAGTTTTTACTGGTGTCGGGGCATCCGGAAGGATTGCTATACATCAGCTATCACGATCCGCTCACAGCTGTGTAATATCTCGTTCTGTACAAAAATGTTTGTTCTACCAAATGTATTTGTTAAAATGATTTTGAAACCATTTCTACAAAAGCCTAGAGCATTCTAAAATGCACCGAATCACGACAAAATAACTGTTCGAACAGTTTTTTTCCGTGATTTATTGTATTTTTAAAGCTTTAAGTATTTTTAGAAATGATTTTGGAATCTTCTTAGCACAAATAAAATCGAGTATATGTGGTTATGTCGAGTCAATTTGGAACAATTTTGACTGAGTTATGGATTTTTCGGACCAAATAGTGGCAAATGGATTATTACGTCTAGTATAGGTTACACTAGTTTTCTCACGCTTTTCGAAAAATAAATATTGGCACAAGATTCAGCGTGGTTTGTGTATGTATGTATTAGACCCATTAGTGAACGTCCACACTTCGCTATCGTACAGCAGCACAGGCAGCACACACGATCGGAAAATTCGGAGTTTGGCATCAATGGAAACTGTTTTCCTATACCAAATTACGTTTCTCAACATGTTGAACGCCGTTGTCGCCTTCATTAGCTTGGAGCCTATTTCTCTGTCTAGCCTTTAATCCCTTGAGATGACACAGTCTAGATACGGGGACGATTCGACAGTCTCAATTTTTAGATTTCTGATGGTAATATCAATATTCGGTAAATCAGCTTCTTGTTGTTTCATAATCTTTCGACTGGAGTCTTCCTTGTATTGTTGTAGTGACATGATGCAGGTTTTCTTAACATTCATTGTCAAGCCGTATTCCTGACTCACTTTTCAAAAGTTCTAATGAAGATTTCGAGTTCGGCAAATGTGTTGCACATAGCGATCAGTTCGTCCGCATACATGAGAGACAGAATATCAAATTTTTCGAACTTTTCGCGTGCTCCATGGTGAAAGTCATTGCTAGCAAAAGCGAGCTCCGTGAGACCAGCTTCTTCGATGACTCTCCTGACGATGAAATCAAACGCGATGTTGAATAGTACTGGGGAGGGAATCACG